ATGTGATGCCGAATAATGTACTTTCCGAAAGTTAACTGAAATTAAGAGCGGCGCGAACTTTTTATTCTTCAACCGTAACACAATTTTCAGTATGTTCGTGATGGCGCAATTCGATTGTTTCGAATAGTCGTTTGTCTTCGCACATGAACATTCTGATCATGCAGTGCAAGGAAACTAATAAAAAAATTGAAAATTTTTTATCGATCCGAAGGCATCCGTTTCAAATCAGATTTTCTTTGCTGCTTCAAAATGAAGGAAACATTCAGAAAACACCAGAATCAAATCATTTACAACAAGCTTTAACAGCAGCCTGAATTCAGAACGAAAATTCCAGCGGTTTGAGTGAAACGACCTCAAACAGAGGTTCTGAATCTGGAGTACTCAGCCAATCTGTCGACTAACNTAACCTTTTCACCATTGATGTTCTTTACATACGCATAAAAGCTGATCTCATATCTGTTCCTCTCATCAATGTAGTTAATCCTCGAAGAAAGAATGAAATTCGCAAATTTTGATTCGTAGAGAATACGTGAAAACGCAGAATCAAGCAAAAAACATTCGAAGGAAACACCCATTACCATTACCCACTTTCAGGATGACAACGCCTGTAGTGAATTTAAGTGGTAAAGTTGCACTTATCACCGGTAAGTTTATATTTGAAACATTGCCGAATCATTTCAGTGACACGTTGGTGAATCATTTCACCGAAATGAATCATCATTTCAGTCATTTCACCGAATCATTATCAGTTGGTGTTTCCCATAGAAATTAATCACAATTCAATGATTCCGTGCATAAGCTAACCACAAGCAGAACAAAGCTAAGCTTAGACATGATCATAATGTATTGTAATCATTACATATTCCAACCAGTTATCACTTAAGCGAACAAGTAAATATGGTTTTAATATGGCCGTGGTGATTGCATCGTTAGCGGCATGCCTTGAATAAGGCTGCTACTTTACTAGTTGTGAATAAAACAAAATTGGGTGAGATGTTCACCTGGCATAGAATTCAAATGATATCCCGTACGTATCTATTCTAAAATGAACGTACAAAATAAAGGTGCCACATCGGGCATTGGTCGTGCAACAGCGATTCTTTTCAACAAACTTGGTGCATCAATCGTTATCACTGGACGTGCGACCGATCGACTCGAAGCACTCGCTGAGGAATTGTCAAAAAACGAAGGATCGGTGAGCCATAACCTAGACTGATTATCATTGTCACTG